CTGCTATTGCTACTACGACGACGACGACGACGAGAACTACTACCCCCTACAGCTGTGTTTATGCTCATGCGCTGACCCATCCCTCCATCCCAAAACTTAAAAGCCCTATGGGTACATCAGCGTTTGTCAAAGGGAACTCTGGGTGTGTGGTTCATCGGTTTGTTACGGACCAACCCACAGCTCTGAAATAAATACCGAGAAGGCATTAAAATGAAAGCTACTGTTGGAGATCACAGCGGGCTGGTTTCCGGCCTGGCAGCACTTTTCCAAGATCGGATCCCTACCAAGGCTAGAAGCCCCAAGCCGGCCTATCATTCCAAAAAATTGATGTCGCTCCCATGCAGCGGAGGGGCGAGGGTGTCCGCCTCGGCTAGCTTTCGCTTGCTCTCCGACAGCTCTTCACGGAGCTTGATGCCTTGGTCCATGAGCCTGAGTTGCTTGCGAGTGCAACGGGCAAGGATATGCGAATTCTGGTGCAATGTTGCATGAAGTTGATGCAGTTTGTCGCACGGTGCCAACCCAGTGGCATCTTTACATTTAGCTTCTGAGGCGTGGCTCTGCACTGCAGAGGCAACACGATTCTGCTCATGCCTCCGGCTACCTGCCCCGTCTTGGGGAACGAGCCCTCCTCCTCTCGCAGCAGTTCATGACGGCATACCCGGCTGCCCAATAGCACGCCCAATAAAGTCTCCTCGCAAACGGGGTCGCCAATCCACATGCTACGTGCTTGCTTGCTTGCTTGCTGGCCTGCCTGATTGCTTGCAGATCGGTAATACACATGAGACACAGAGTCGGAGTCGCGCGCACGCGCGCGTGTGTGTGTGTGTGGTTGTGTATGTCATGATATACATGGGAAAGTATACACATGAAGCGGCAACATCAAAACCCTAATCCTAATCACTACAGAAGCTATCTGGGGTCCCGGCGCTTGGTTTCGCTCGCCCAGTGTATCGAGCATCTGAGCCTGAATCTGATCCCAGAAAAGTTCATTTCCGCTTAGTGGCACGCGTAATTACCCTTTTCCTGTTATCCAGTGATGGTAAGGGAGACCTACAGAAGAGAGGGCAAAAGGGTATTACTGGGGAAGCTAGTAGATGATGCGTGGTCACTGTAGCCTCTTATGGTGTAGGACGCTCGCCTCTGGAGTCTCTAGGTTCAACAGCATCTCAGGTTGTGATTCCTAGGGCTTCTCTACAACTGCTCAGGGTCACAATCTCAGAGAGTGCCGAGAGATTCCGATGGGAGAGTGATGATCGGCCTGTTCGTCAATCTTCTCCTCCAGCTCCTCGCGAAGGTCGTTCAGCTGGTCTGTGAGATTCACATAGCCTTGGCTGGACAGCGGCTCGTATGAGGGACGAGGCCCCTTTGTTCCCGGATGGAATGCTTCAGAATTCACCCCCCTCCCTCCCACCACACCGCAAAAACAAACAAATTTAGTTGTATATCCTAAACTCTACACCAAGAACAGACCAGGGTCCTTGGTTCGTATCCATCAGCTGCTCTTCCTGGCAACAGCAAAGCTTCTGGAATGGCTCCTCCGAACCATCACAACACTGGAAACACTGCCTCGTCATATTAAGCATATCCAAACCAACGGAAAGCTAGACACACACGGAACCCGAAATGCTTGGGACTTGAACTCAACCGAGTTCTTCTGCAAATGCGAGTGTCGTGGTCTGAACAACATGGAAACACGAAAATAATCCGACTAGCATGGCAAGGTAGTAGCGTCAGTTTAAGATGAACTATGTGAATCGATCTTTTTGTCGCGTGATACCACCGAGTTGAACGAGGAGTTCGGAGTTCATAATCTGCACAGCGAAATCTCAACCATGCAAAGTCTTGTCAACATCGGGAGGCTATGCATGTGAGAATGGTAGACCTCTACACTTACATCAGCGGATCCCGAGATTGTCAAGACAGAAGACACTGCTTCGGTTGGACTTGCTATGTGATTTGGTTTGATTGAGCGAGAGAGACGAAAAGAGAGAGAGAGCGAGAGAGAGAGAGAGAGAGAGAGTGAGGGAGAGACAGAGAGGGAGAGACAGAGAGGGAGAGAGAGAGAGAGAGAGAGCGAGAGAGAAGAGCAAGAGGGAGAGGGAGACAGAGATGCGGAGGCAGACAGGCAGGAAGAATAAACAATCAACAACCGAACTCTAAGCCCTAGATCGTGTAGCGACTGTGTTGGTGGCTGCATTGTCCCATGGCCTTCTCGTTCAGCAGCTCGAAAAGCTCTTCTTCTCTGGCCCGCGCGAGGTCGCGCTCCTCGAAACAGGGCCCATTGAAGAGAAACAGAAAGCAAATGGTTGTGGAGGGTGTGAGGAGGGTACTGAAACACGTCTTGTAGCGCTCATGCCGCAAACTGTAAAGGCTTTCTGCCAATTTTGCTGTTTTGGCAATGGCTTCTGACAGCCTCTCGCTGCCAAAACGCAGGATACCTGAACAGCCACGGACGGAAAGAGGCATCGACTATCCTTGTGACTGTGTGTGAGTGTGAGTGTGTGTGTGTGTGTGCGTGCGTGCGTGTGCGTGCGTGATAGCCAACTCCCCTGTGAGCATGTTCATAAACAAAACACAGCCTGTCTCGGTGAGTGCCTATCTTCACCAGGACCCAAAAACTGTGGGCCTGTTGCTGCACATCTGTCCGGGGCCCTGTCTCAATGCCGCATGCCGAACCGCGTGACTGATCTGGTCTAGTCAAGGTCAGCCCGGTGTACGGTTCCGAAAATGAGACAAGATAGACAGACTGCCGAATTTCAAACGTCATGCACGGGCGAAGAAACTGAACCTCGTAGCCCTTGGCATAGCTAGCAGCCCTCCTCCGTCAGGACCGCCAGCTGCTGTTGTAAGTCCTGTCATTTCGGTGAGATGCGCTTGCTTTGCGATTTGGGGGTAGACGCGGGTCAGGCTGAAACGGGCAACATGCGAATTTGCAGCTGGATTCGGGCTGAGGTCCTCCACGGTGCCTTGTGTCTCTTCCTGCTTGTCCTGCCGGGATGTCGGACAACCACAGCGGGGTGAATGTAGGCACAGGACTCAGGTGGCAGCCTAGGTGCTGACGCCCCAACCTTCCCAAAACATGCGACAGGACTCAGTAACTCAGTATCCTATGAATCACAAAAACTCGGCTCCTCCAACTCTTTGATGCGGACGTTGGCTCCCGAGTGGTTCTCCGCGGAAGCATTGAGCTTCTCCTCCAGCGACTTGACCTGCGCAGGTCAGGCGGGAGGCGCGACATAAAACGTTCCGTGCAGCGAAGGATCTTTCGGCAAAGGCTGGTGTCAAGAAACCGAAAGTCTGGGAGCGATATATAGGAGGCTGCAAAGCAAGAGATGGAACGAGTCTGTATCAATCATTGCTGGTCTAGGCGACTGGCAACACACCCAAGTCGCCGAGCCATTTCAGGCTGGATTTGACTTTGAGCTTCGGCCTCGGGATTCACCGAATAGTCAAAGCCTCCTCTTATCGCTCCATCGGCGGGTGTAAGGCATGATATGCTCGATCAACGAGACGCCCAACGAATGAGCACGCACATGGCTGTGCGTCTATCTACGGTATACAGCCTGTGTCGTAACTTGAATCATGACTACATCCCGATCCCACTCGCACCGTTCGCTGCCATCTGCCACGGCCTGAACATCCGCCCGTTCACGATCGACCTGGTGGGCTTGAATTCATGACATGGTCCTTCTTTTTTTAAGAGTGATTGTTATCGCAAAGCACATGAGCTATGGTCTGGTGTTGCAGTCATCCAGATTCTACTCGTATTGGTGTGGGCACTCTACACTCTACCGTGAGTTCTCGCTGAGGGACTCAATTTAAGCTACCATTCTACGGAGAGCGTCAGTATGCGGTGTAAGTATGTGTATACATATACAGATATGTATGTCTGTATATACTCATATATATATAAGACACATGCACACACGTAAATAGTATGTCCCCTTCATTGTAATGTAAGCTAAGTTCCTTAACATCATTCTCATCCCGGCTTGGCCTGCAGCCGCAGCTTTTCCGCCTCGGAATCCACGAGCCGCTGCTCCGACTCGGACATCCTGGTAGTGAGTGCGGTAGCTACCTATAGTCTCCTTGTAGGATTTTGAATATGATCTTTTAAGAAAGCAAAAAGGTGGAGGACTATGGATAGTTCAGCGACTACGACCTCGACTACAGCTACTCTGCTGTTGATGCTCGTGCTACAGCTGCTGCTGCTGCTGCTGCTGCTGCTCCTACTACTACTACTACTACTACTACTACTAACACTACTACTAACAC